CTCGAAAGTATGACGTGAACGAATGTTTGCTTCTTGGCATGTGTCTCAATAAAGATTATTTTGTTCTGATTATCCTTCAAATGCATTGAAATTATTGTTGAAGTCTCTGAATTCAGTAAGTTCATCTTTTGCGAAAAGTTTTCTTCTACCTAAATATTTGGTGCAAAGACTTTGGTTGGGCTACACACACTAATGAGTGCTCGTATAAGATCAGGGAAGTATATCGACCGATTCCACTTATTTTATTGCATAACCTTTCGAGACGAAATCAAATCTAGTAGTCAATTCAATGATGAGTAGTGACAAAAAAAGACAAATACAACAGATTCTCACACAAGAGCAAAAACGTACACTCTAAAATAAAATGTGTCGCAATGAGCTCTTCGTGTCGTATTTCTTGCATTCTTCGCTATATATGTCCAGCGGAGAACGCGAGAAATACGACACGAAGAGCTCGTTGCGACACATGCGACACATAATACGAGACAATTTATTTTAGTGTGTACAATGAAAAGACAAAGTACCTTGAATAGAAATGCGTCAGGTCAAATTTTCTAGAAATAGTCGCAATTGATTGTAATTAGTTCGCAGAATGTCAATGTTTAATAGTTCGTGTTTCCGAAGAAAAGTTGAATACTCACCTATACCCTTCTTAGGTAACATATTATCGCACTCTCGAGTTTTTCTAAATTTGTAGACAGTTGTTTTTGGATATGCGCAATTTATGCTAAAGAGATAGTCGATATATGCAACGATCTCGTTGATAAAAGCATACAGAAGCTCGATTAATTTACACTAGCTTCATACTTCAAGAAAAACGTCATTTGCTGCATAGCTGAAAGAGAGCATGTCAATGTGTTTCGAAATTTCGTGATGGTCGGTAGCATCACCTTTGAAGTAAATATACGGCTTTTTCCTGTTGTCGATTACAAAAAAAAACAGAAAAGTAATCTTTGGAAGTAAAGAACGTCATTGTCAGTGGGAAAGAAAGGAGCATATTTTATCACACCTGTGTAATAATTTTGTTAGTCAATCTTTCAAAATGAATATGAAAGCAACTTCATTTATCTTTCGGTATAAATTTTAGATTGTGCATACTGTACGCTGTGTCATTCACTCAGACAAACACTATTAGAAACAATTATTTTAAAAAGTCAAATAACAAGTGATGTGCAATTAAGACAAGAAAGTAAGTATTAAGTACTCGATTTATTTTGTTTAGCAGTGCTTTACTTTCGTTTTGCGAGTTTAAAAAATGGCTGAGGAAGTTGATTTGAAGTTTATAGAAACTAGTTCTTCACTAATACAGTGTAATTTGTATTAGACTCATGAAAGCTTCATACTTCTGTCTAAGTAATATTCGTATCATTAATGATGAAAGTGGTGTGATCTAAGTATAGACTAAGATCTTGGATTCCCCTATTCCCACACACACAAATCATACGCGGAACAAGTACAGAAACGGCCTATAAGACAAAATTTGTCGATGTGGTTGTGGATGTAGGTCTGAATATGAATTTAGATATGGGTAAAATCATCTTTCACACAAATACTGACAGCCACAACTACACTCCACACATTGTCTCTAGTGACCCGTATGCATTTAGTCACAATAAATATTTATATGCTTCGAAAAAGTGTTTCAAAATAAATGCATCACCCAGTATTTTGATGAGAAATTCTTTTCATTGTAACTCTTAGATCTAAGTCTTTTTTTCAAACAATGCAATTCGAAATTCTGTACAAAACGATATGGTTGATTTGATCTAACTATTCGTTATTACATGCTTCAGTACTGCCTCGAACTGGTAAGCATGCAACAGAGTTCTGACGGTGAATAATTTTTGTTTTTCGCCAGCAGAGCCAAATCTCTTTGTACATTATATTAGAAAAAAAAAATTCTTCTTCAACAAAGATAAATGTAACAACATTCAACAATGTTGACTATTTCGGATCATCACTGATCAAGCTAAAAGTTCTGATAGGTTCCCTTGAGAGAATGATGAGTAGTTTTTCATATAATATTTTTCGAACATCTTGTCACTTCGTTAAATAGAACCCATTTACTTGATGCTAATTGTGATTCATATGCGAAACGAGTTACGCTAGAATGAAATAGTTTCATTTGTTTTGAATCTACGATAAATTGCTATAACATATGAATTAGCATCAAATGTCAAAACATTCTATTTAGTGAAGCGAAAAACTTTCAAAGAAAACCAAAAATGAAATCATATTATCTCGTAGAGAGTTTCTAACGAAAATATTGTGAAAGATCCATTTGTTTTGAACCATCTGCTATCACTCATTTGCTCAACATCAAGTAGACAAAAAAATGGTGAAGAATTATGAAAGCTCTTCGAAAATTGTAGAAGAAGATTGTCCACTGAATAACAATTCCATCAATTATTCTTGGAATTTCATATCTTTTCGTTTTGAATTCAATGAGTTAAATCAAACTACTACTGATAATGTTGAGTATATATGTATATTTTAGTCGCCACGTAGACGTATTATTATCATGGGCAATACCATTGATTCTGAGGTGAAGCAAGAAGAAAATATTCTTGAGCGACCACAGAAAGGTAACGCCAGTGAATTTTATTGGGCCTGTCGAAATGGTGATATTGAACGAGTCAAACAATTATTATTAACAATACCATATAATGATTTGAATCGATTGGAACCAAATGGAAGTACACAATTACATGCAGCAACATATTTAGGTCATACAGAAATTGTCCGTCTGCTTCTACAACATCATGGTGTTCGACGGCACCGACGAAATCGGCATGGTCATACAGCATATGAAGAAGCTCAGACAGATGATATGAGACAAATATTTCACCGACCATCAAATAAGAATCGATTTTGTGATAATGAAAATGTTCAAGAGACATTTCAAGTTGTCAAATCAGAAGATCAAGAATTATATACAGAGTCAGATGATAATGTTAATTACACTGATTCACCATGGATAAATAATGTTGGTACAGAAGATGAATTGCATAGGTTAAAAAGATTGTCCTATGCAGGTAGTGGGCGAGCAATTCTCAAATCAAGTCTATTTATGTTTTTGACAAAGAAATTTATATTTAATTACGAAAGTATATTAAAAGAAGCCTGGCCAGCTGATATGATTCAACTAACTAAGTTGTTATGCGATAGAGCATATCGAGTAAAAGAAATACAGAAAACGATTGAAAAATTTGTTACTCCTTCACATTCTGAATATAATAAATGCTGTACATTATTATCAAAATATGAGCAAACAGGAATACTTGAACATTTATTAAAACTTTATACATTAGAAACACCATTTTATAGACAACTAAAAGAGGATTATATCGATTCTTTATTATCTGCTATAGCAATGGATGATTCTCAATTAAAAAAACGATATTATAAAGGTCAAGTATATCGTGGTGTCTTAATGACAAAACAAGATGTAAATAATTATCGTTGGGCTTTAAAAACTATAGGAAGTCTTATATTGACAACTACATTCTCATCAACATCGTTGCATCGAGATGTAGCAGAAAATTTTACTAGTTTGGAAGGTACATCAGATAAAATTAGAGTATTGACGATATGCGATTTTCCTACCGTATGTCAGAAAGCAATAAATTTGAATGCAATACCCAATCATCAATTATCCTGCATATCAGAATACGAAAATGAGGCAGGAGTTTTAATACTTCCAGGAACACCATTTCGTGTTAAAAACGTTGAAGGAGATGAACAATTTACAACAATATTATTGGAAAACGTATGCATTGAAAGTTATTCATTATATGACACCACTAAATCTCTGTTCAAAGAGTATGGCCTATTTAAAACGGACTAGAAACATTTCATTTTCGAAAGAATGCAAGTTTGCATGTAGATATAATTGTGAAAACTTTCTTTTCATACATGCACAGTGACATCCAAATCCTAAGCGTACTTCTTGTCTTGATCATATCGGCTTTCTGTTCGAACAACTCGCAACAAGGGTACGGGGGTCAGCGTATAAGTATCGGTGTGGGTAGGTGTGGGTGAGAGTGTAGATGTGGGTGTCTGGGAGTGAGGGTGGGGATGTGGATGTGTGATCGTGAATGT